ATATATATATATATATATATAATTGTTATTATTTTTTTTTCAACTATACATTCTTGACTAGCCATAAATAAAATCTTGATCCCATTTGGGGCAGTGTAGACATTTTGTCGTCTTAAAGGTACTTGGTGTCGTTAAAGGATCAAAAATTTAATATATTTTGATAAAAATTGATGAAATATATTATTAAAAGTTGTAAATCTTATAAAATACGTGGTTAAAATTAATTATTGATTTTGACTTAAATTTTTTGCAAACTTTTAATCTATACCAATCGGGGCAAACAAAAAGTGAAGGATGGAGCTACAAAAGCGTGCAAAGATTCAGGACTGCGACTGCAATTTTCGTATTCAATTTTATCTGCTTCTTCACCGAGCCAAATTGGCTGTCTAGGGTTTGTTCATCCTGTAAAGTTGCCCCTGTATACAGATGAAACATGAGTATTTTAGGCCAGCGATCTGTTTTGCTCGAATTTGAGATGGCCATTAACAGTTGATTGGAGTTTCACTTTTCACATTAGTAGAGAAACCCATTCAGTTTGCTGATCGGATTTTCATGTACAAGTAAGCGCCAACATTGCTCGGTTCTCACTTTGAACACCAACTAATACACCATGGAAGCAGCTACTTCTTTGGTATGCTCAAAAGTCACACCTTGTGGATTTACTTTCTCGCCCAAACACTGTTTAACCTCATTCAGACCTTTCAACAAACAATTCGAAGACAAAAAATTATCTGTTAAAAAATCCCTCGCCCAGAACAATCTTAAGCTTATCAGAACCCCTTTAAATTGCTCCGTCTTACTTGCGTCCAAGTCCGGCAACCGACTTGGGTTATCACTGAAGAGTTGTGACAATTCATTTCGTTTACAGTCATGTTTTCCATCACCGCTATCTGCTGCAAATTCTGGAGTTACTAATCATTTCCACCTGCACAGATGCTCGAATTCGAGTTCTGATGCAACGGGTGCTGACTCACAGAACCCCTTGCTGGAAAGTCTCAGAAATTTCAAATTTGTGTCTTTGAAATCAACCCTTCTGCAGTTGACGCCGGTTGACATTTGCAAGTGGTGTTTGATATTCTCCATTGCAATTGCAGCTTCAAAATGGAGTCTGAATTTACTATTCAACCCATTTTTTTGGATGTATTTTAGCTGGACGTGGTTGTTTTGGCCATGGTTAGTAGCAATTGGTCTTGCGATTTATGGTTTTTATAGCCTTAACAAGCATTTAAGGGGCGAAGCCAGTGTACTAGAGCAATTTGCCATCGTTACCTCAGCTTTCACTTGGCTAACATTAGTCCCGCCTGCTCATTTTAATGGCCTTCTGGAAGGATGGCCCTTTGTGTTCTTTTTTGTGTACCATTATTTCTTTTTCCTCAATGTGAGTGTCCGAAAGCGGTTATATGGCGATTATTATCCTAGGAAGCACAATACAAAGTGGGACATTAGTCTGCCCAATTGGCAAAAGCTTCTGTTTTGCATTGGAGTGATGGTTGGACATTGGCTAGCAGCACGTGAAGGGACAGAGCTGCATCTAATTCCTGGTGGGTGGAACAATGTGGGTATTTGGCTTTTGATCATGTTGACCGTGTTCATGCAGTATCACTCCACCCTGTATTTGGCCAAGTATTCTGAGAAGGTGGTTGTGCCCACTGCTGTTGTCCATTTTGGGCCATACAGGTTTGTTCGCCACCCAATTTATGCTTCAACGATGCTCCTGTTTGTTACATACTTCATTGCACTCAGAGCACCAATGAGCGCACTGTTTATCATTGCGGTTTGTGTTATGTACTATGGGCAAAAGGCAAAATTAGAGGAGGCCTTGATGCTAGAGACCTTTGGAGATAGGTATACTGAGTACATGGATAAGGTTAGGTACAAGTTCCTTCCTTTTGTTTTTTAATTTAAACAGTAGTCGGCTATGAAGAATTTTTGATTTGCAAGAAAGAAACAAAAAAATTATCTTCAGCTTTTATGTTTACTGATTTAATTTCCATTTCATCATTACCATTTATTTTGATTATAAATGTTTGTGTATTCATGTGACCTTAATTTGCATTATGTTGTGGTCACTGTTGAGCACATAAATGCAGTTTTTGGATAAAAGGTTGATACATATTTTCTGGCAAGAAACAAATTTTATTGCATTAACATTCTAGACATGTAGGTCTGGTAATGTTTCTACATGTCTTTTTCTTCAAATTCTGTGACATGTTCACCATTTTCCCTCTTTATCATGTTTGTTGTAAAAATATATTTTCTTCCTATCATGTTCTCATTTCTTGAAATAGTTATCGTAATAAAATGTCCCCTCTTCGGTTACTTGTTATACTCATCTAATTTATTGGAGAAGCTTCTAAAAAGGTCACTAAGATTAGTCTTGCTTTAGTGGGTGTTATTCTGGATTGATTCAAGTTTTTGTTCCTGCTAACAGGGGAGGGGCATGTGAAAATAATGTGCTAATGTTTTGCCAATGAACTGGTACTTAATATTAGAATGAGATCCAGAAAGTAGTAAAGGGGCATATGAGTTGCAGTGAGTTGTGTTGTTGCTGTTATAGATCCATTTGCCCTTCCCTCCTTCTGTCATTAGCCCAGGTGTAAAAGCTTCAATTTGAAGGATTCCATTCTGTCAATAAAGTCTGTTCAGCATGTTCAAATTGCTTAAACATGCATTCTGCACATAGCTTTTTCTGTACTGTAATCCAATCTTCTTGCCTCCTAGCATCAACAGTAAAAACTACTACAAATAATTAAACCACAGTGAGGTGTGAACTATCACATCCATTCAGATGAGATCACATTGAAAGAACCCACACAAAGAGCGTTCACATGCACTCTTATCAACTTCACCTCCATGCATGGGTCCATACACTCATAGTCAAATGTACAAATCCATGCTTCTTTAGGGATCAATTGTAGCAATCATTGTGGCTTTACAAATTTAATCACACCTTAGCCTTATCAAATCGCTACAAATTTAATCACATCAATATAACGAGCTAAATATGCAATTTAATCATTCAACTGAAGAATATTTTTGTCTCAAATTTAATTTGATATATATAACCTCTTATTCATTCCTCTAAGTCACATAGTGTCTCTTTCTCTAACCATCTCTAAACATTCCAAACCTTATGCGAACATGTTTTTCACCATCTTACAGATATATACATACCACTAACTAAATAAAATCGTAACAATATTTCGACTTATTGATAGTTAACAAGCTTGGTCCACTTCTGTCCATTACCAAACATTTTAATAACTTGGGAAATTCTTCTTAAACATGTACAAAACCGTCATATTGATCGTAGTTCCTCAACCATTATTATGAAAAAACGTACTTATGCTCACAAGGAAATGAAGAAGACCTTAGCTTACTGAAGGCTGATTCTGCGCTTGATGAATTTCTTGACAATAAAACTCTTGAATCAGTACTCGAGGTTGAAGAAGATAAAAAAGGCAGAAAGGGCTCATTCAAGGGGTGGTTTTTTAGCCAGTAGGAGGAAATGTGGAAGACAAATCTAAGAAAGGCAAGTGCAAGGTAAGAATTTGCCTGTCTTTCGAATGAAACAAAAACTGTGACTTATTCCCCAAAAAATTGACCCTAATCTGGTGTTCTCAACCTTATTTCATTGAGATACACCTAGCATCATTGTCAGTAAATTTCCTTTATAAACATTTCTTAATCAATTCCAGCTGGACGCTAACATCACATCTAAACCGTTATAATCTAAATTAAATTTCAGAAGTAAATCATATACAAATCAAATCTTATTTAACGCAATTTTACAAAGAATCTTAGATTGCGTCAACAGATGTCAGAAATCTTCATAGAAAACCTTCGACGTCATTTTCTTCCCATAGCGTCATATGTGATAGTAAACCACTAAACCTCATTATACCATAGCTTTTCTGGAATTTAAAGGGCTTAATTCAATCCTATCTAGAATTCTTCTGTTCATCAAGGATTTAGCATATAATTTAGAGCTTGTTTGGTAGGATTTTTGGGGGAAGAATTGATTTTTGAATAGTGATATGATGGGAAATGTGTGGTTGAAAAAGAAGAAATTATTGATGTGATGGAAAATATTATTTTGATGAAGAATGTGTGGTTGAAAATGAGTAGAAGAATGAGAATGAAAATTTTAATGGGTAACAAACACACCCTAAGAAGAGAACTTCTTGTTTATGTTATCCCTCATTATGAAGATCAACTTAAATCAAAAACAAACACCCCCTTAGTCTTCTTCTATTACGGTTTACTATAATAAAGTCTCCTATTTGATGGTTTTTGGAGTTTTCTCTTATTTGGGAGATCCCCTGCATTGAAAAAGTGGGTTGGGGGAGGGGGGGGGGGGGGGGGGGTTGGAATACTTTGAAGTAAATGGGTAAGAAACGGAAGCAGGCACAATATTAACATAATTGTTTTCCTTATGCTATGTGCTAAAAGGATTTCCTCATGGAAATCAATTGGATAAACTAGGACACCAGGAAAATTGTTCAAAGAGATAGAGTAAAAGAAGAGGAAGAAATGATTTGATAGGAAGGACATTAGTTCCTTATAGATAGGTAAGTACGGGCATCTTGCACCTACTATTACAGACACATGAATGTTCTACCTTCTTCATATGAATGGAAATAAGGGTAACTGTTGGAGACCATCTTTTGGAAGTTGAGTGATTAACTGAGGTGGCAATAATGACATTTATGCGAATGTTTAAGTATGAAATTAAACATACATATTTGTACAATTGTAAGTATTATCTTTATGGTCTGATTATATGAATAGAGCATGCCCATCCTGAAGTTTGTGGAAGAGAAGGGAGAGAGAAGAAGAGGATGGGAATGAGACAAGAAGATAGGTACTCTAGTTAGTTCGTGAGCCTTGAGAAGCTGCAATGTATATTAAGGAATCTTAATGTCGAGAAACACTTGTGTTTCACCTCAAGTTATTTTTAGTTTTTGAGTTTTAGTTAAGGTAATGGACACGAAATTGTTAGCCTAACTGCTAGCGTGGATCTCCTTCGTTCAATACAATTTATAATTAAGTTCTTACTGACTGAAAGGGAAATAACGATGATTCACTGCTTCAACAATGCTCTCAAACAGCCTCTCCCAATTATGCTTGCTTTATTGTGATCAAAATAACATCATTCAACGTAACTGCTGAATGTATGATTTGCATCTACTGGTTTTGGATTGATTGTGAAGACAAAGATACAAGTGTTACAGTTTAAGCTGTTGAATTCTTGTTCGTAATGAATGAAATTCTATGTTGGTTCAAGTGTATGTTATTCGGATTCCCTTACGTTTGGCAGCACTGACATTATAGTTGATTTCTGAAGTTCGGTATCATTGGCATCAGAATGCCAATTGAATTTACGCTAATATTTTTCGTACAGTTTTCTCAGACGATAAGAATTTTTAATGTTCTTGAAACTAAAAATTGAAAACTTAGATTACTAAAAACTGCTCGTTTTTATTATGAATATACCATAACATGCATGTTTGCCAGAGCTTTAAATTGCTTATATGTTGGTTAAGTTCTATCTCGTAGAGCTTACACCTTTTATCTACTTTTATTCCCTTATTATTCATACATTTTGTAGAATCCACAACTTATAGTTTAATAAAAGCTTTGCCAAACATGCATAGAATATGTCACTTCAGTTTGATGAATTATAGCTGAAAAAATATAAAATTTTGGAACAAATAAATTAGTTGTCAATATATGTTATTTGTGATATGAAACATATTACAATTTCTAAAAATGTTTTTGGACTGTTATGCTACTAAGTTCCTGTTTAGTTTAGATAAAATTAATTTTTAGGATATTTTAATAGAAGTTAATGGAATGTGTTATTAAAAAGTTGTGGATCTATGTGTTATTAAAATTAATTGTTGATTTTATCCCCTGGTTGATGGCCATTATTTGGGATTTTCAATATTTTGAATAGTGAATTTTTAGAGAATGCGTGGTTAAAAAGTATGGAAAAATTTTGAGTTTACGTGCAGAATATTTTATTTTGTGAATGTGTGGTTGAAAATAAATATGTAGAAAAAAGAGTTTTGAAATAAAAGATGTGAGACTGGGCTTAATCTAGATTAATCTTCAGTTGAACCAATTGGGGCTTAATATTGTTTTGGCGACACATGATGTGAACTGAGAAGGGGTAAGTAAAGCCTAGGGCAAAGCTCTCTATTACTCGAAGTCAGGCGAATGAAGAGAAAAAATATGAGGTGCTGTAATTTTAGGTGTGTGAACAAGAACACGTCAGGGATGCGAGGAGCTTGGTGGATTTTGGTCTTATCGCAAGCTAATTAATAATTATCTTGGTCTAGCTAAAAATCACATGCTAATTATCTTGACTTATAAATTTTTTTAGTCCGTTTTTAAATCCGCTCCTCATGATAACTACTTTGAACACAAGAATTTAGCTCTTGTTTGTCTCTCTTTAAAACAAAAATTTTAAATTTTCACTCATTTTTAATTATACATTCACTGAATAACTATTTTGTAAGTAAATTCAAAAAAAAAAAAAAAAATCTACTTTTAACAGCACATTCTTCAAAATGTCATTTTATTTTCAAAATAATCATTATCAAATAAGTAGGGCTGTAAATGAATTGGATTTGTCTATATTCAATCCAATTCGATAAGAAAACTATCCAATCCGATTTGATAATCTAACGGATATTTGATTGTTAAATCTATATTCGATTTGCTATGTTATCGAATATTTGATCAGATAATTTGATTAGAAATTAATAAAAATTAGAAAAAAATTAATGTTTTTTAAAAATTTTTGAACTAATTAGAGGCTCACCTGTTTTTACTAGTTTTCTATTGACATTTGATGTGTGATAAGGTAAAATTGAATTTCAATTCTAAATGTCAATATTTTATTTCATTATTTCCATTAACAAATCAAATTATTTGTTACATATTAATTATTAGTTTTTGAAATTGTAAAATAAATTACTATAATAAATTAAATGAAGAAAAATATAGATATTNCGCTTTTTTAAAACATTGGTTGAAATCAACTTTTTTTTTTTTTCAAATTTTCCAATTCTTAACCAAATTTAATAATTATAAATTTTTCAACTTTTTTATGTTTTGAATTTAATTATTTTTTTATTCTAAATATATTTATTTTTGCATTTATTTATTTTAGTGACAAATAATAAGTCATTAAAATATTTTACCGACTCAATTATTTATAACAAATCGGATCAGATTGTTATCGAATCGGATTGACCTATATCTATATTTGATTCATTTAGTTAACGGATTATCGGATTCGGATCTTGATCGAGTTATTGGACTGCGACCCTAAATTCATCTCCCATTAATTTCGTCGGATTCGAATCAAAATCTAATCCATTGACAGCCCTACAAACAAGGGCTAGTAGAGGGGTAAATGTAATGCATCGTAAATTCATTGAATTACACAACACTGATTTTTGTCTAGTTGCAATCACAGTGTCATTTTTTGAATTAATAAATATATGGTTTCGTGGCAATCACACTATTATTTTTCGAATTACTATATATATGGTCACTAAAATTGTTCTTTTTGAAGTTGTAAAATGTAATGCATCGTGGATTGATTGAATAACACACATGGATTCTTGCCTACTTGCAATCACAGTGTTAATTTTAGAATTACTATATATATGGTTACTAAAATTGTGCTTTTTGAAATCTAAAATGTAATGCATCGTGGATTCATTGAACACCACAAACATAGATTCTTGTCTACATGGCAATCACACTGTTATTTTTCGAATTACTAAATATATGGTTATTAAAATAGTTCTTTTTGAAGTTGTAAAATGTAATGTATCGTGGATTGATTGAATAACACACACAGATTCTTGCCTACTTGCAATCGCATTGTTAATTTCAGAATTACTATATATATGGTTACTAAAATTGTGCTTTTTGAAGTCGCAAAAATGTAATGCATCGTGGATTCATTGAACAACGCAAACATAGATTCTTGTTTGCATGGCAATCACACTGTTATTTTTCGAATTACTAAATATATGGTTACTAAAATTGTTCTTTTTGAAGTTGTAAAATGTAATGATGCATCATGGATTGATTGAATAACACAAACGGATTCTTGCTTACTTGCAATCGCATTGTTAATTTCAGAATTACTATATATATGGTTACTAAAATTGTGATTTTTGAAGTCGCAAAAATGTAATGCATCGTGGATTCATTAAACAACACAAACATAGATTCTTGTTTATATGGCAATCACACTGATATTTCGAATCACTAAATATATGGTTACTAACATTGTTCTTTTTGAAGTTGTAAAATGTAATGCATCGTGGATTGATTGAATAACACACACGGATTCAACGGATGAACGTTATGATATATATTGGTTGCTAAAATTGTGCTTTCTGAAGTCGCAAAAATGTAATGCATCGTGGATTCGTTGAACAACGCAAACATAGATTCTTGTCCACTTGCAATCGTACGATATTTTTTGAATTACTAAATATTTGGTAACTAAAATTGAGCTTTTCTACCTCAAAACGTGGCTTTATCATATGCACATTCCCCTTCGAAATTGTACATTGCACTCATAAAATGAGAATGCAGTAAGTACATTTTGACTTGTTGAACTTGATATTTTATGAGAATCTTTCAACATTTGTTTACCACACAAATTTTATCTTTCAAATTTACTTATACAACACACAACATATGCATGGACTTTATTGTTTCTTGTGTGGAAGACTAATTCACGTTTTCATATTTCTTTGAACAGAAATACAATAAAAAAAAAAACTAGAATTCTGTTGAATATAAAATAAGATTCACTTTTGATAATTCAATTGACTAGAAATTTGTGTTTAAAAAGAGTTATAAACGAAAGAGAAGAAAAAAAATAGAGAAGTCAATAGATTTGTCTGTATATTTTGTTGAAAATTAAGGTCCCATATATTATTGATTGCAATTCATTCTACATTGTCATTCATAAATACTTCATTATTTATAACAATTCAA